ATATACTATATATTGTCTTTAACATCATCATAATTAGATATTTGCTAATTTGATTTAATTTAATTTAATTTTAAAGCGACACAGGACAATAATTATTTTTTCGGAGTACCCGCAACTTGAATATGAATATGAAAGTGCTTATTATGGGATAGACATTATGTATGATGGTATAATGTATGGAGGTGTTAGACAATTTTATTTTAAATAAATAGTGTACGAGATATTTTAAATAATAAAGTTGAATAAGTTATTTCTTAAACTTATTCGATCTCGTGTAATAAACTAACAAGAAAGAAGGATAATTGTTAGGGTTTGAATACAAGATTTTTGATATTCGTATCACACTAAATAATAAAGTTGAAGCGATTATTTAAAAAAATTTTGAATTTTAAAAAATATCCAATATATTGTTTATATAGGAATAAAGTCATGCCACATTGCTCACAAAAGTAAAATATTTTTAAAAGACTATATATTTACATTGTCTAGAGCAATAATTTAATTTTAATTCCGTGTACTTTTTGATATTTATGTGATAAGAAAACAAGTCTAACACGGAAATTCAAAAAAATAGAATATAAGTCAATGAATATTAACTAACGGTCAATGTTAGAACATAGAAATATCATAACTCTTAATAAAAGCGTCCGTTTACAATGAATATTTCTCATTGAATCAATGTATATGATATTTGAAATCTACACAATCTAATTTAAAACTCAAGAAGTTGAAAATAACTCACTATACAATAGACTTAGAGACCATTTTGGAGTAATCTTTATAATGTTGCTAATATATATCCTGGAGTCAATCGTATATCATGTTTGTAATTTCTCATGACAATTCATTCACAGTTGCCAGAAAAATGGTTATAGGATACATCTCATGCATGTACCTTTTAATTTTATTTGATGGCAAGATTACCTAACAAATGTATTTATATGGTTAAAATTATTTTAAAATCTGCTTGTGTAGGAACATAATTTGAATACAATTCATACCACCAAAATTTAAAAGTAGTGAATATTTTATCTCGTGAGACATAAAATCGTCACAAGTATTAGATCTGGGGTTAGAGTAATAGGATATAAAAAAATAATTGGAAAAATTAAATTAAATTAGTTAAACACATTTATTCAAAACCAATAAATCATTTTAGCTTCTTAATATGTATCACATGTGATATAGGTAGCAGTTAATAGTGTCGGAACATAACATTAAAAAATTGGCATAATAGAATCTTTGAGATATAATAGTACATATATATATATATATATATATAATATCAAGCACAAAGGGTTTGAATAAAGAAAGATTATATTAAGAATAAAATGCAATATCACTGAATACGATTACAAAATACTTAAACAAATAACATAAAATAAAATACCTCTTATTTTCTAGACCAAACCCTTACTCTTACTAGATGCTAAAACCCTAAAATCGAACATATCCTAAGGATCAATCCTGAGACATTTACTATGTAGAATAAATTAAAATACTATTTTAAATAAATAACATAAATTCACTTAGAAAAATCCTTGGCCAAATCCATGATATCCAGAAGGCATCATGTTTGGATTATTGAATGGAACAACGCTAGTATTGAATCCAACAGGTCTTGTCTCAAATGGAAGACATGCTCCACTAGAAGAACTTCCCAGGAAAAACGGATGATGAGAATGATGGTGATGATGAGGATGAGGATGAGGAAGGGGAAGATGAGGATGATTATTTGAGGTATGAATCAGAATCTTTTCAGCATGCTTAGCCACATTCTTCTTCAGCTCATCAAGAGAGGCCTTCAATTGTTGAAGCTGTGCCAAGCTCATATCCTCCTTAGGAGCCATCCACCAACATTGGCTCTCATTTGACTTTTTCATTTGGTTAAGCTCCTCACTTCGCTTCTTCTCGGTTTCAAGTTGGTTTTGAATCTATATATATATATATAGTAGAATTAATATATATTGTTTATAATGAAAACATTATATTAGAAAGGAAAGAAATCAAAATAACCTGAGTGAGCTGTATATTGAGCTCACGAACACTAGCGTTCCGATGAGCCTCAATGAGTTTCATGGTTCCAGAAGCGGCTTGTGGTGGAGTACCACTAATGAAGCGTTCCACCACAGTTTCCACACTAGGATGGCCAAAAGAGAAGACCTTCCGACCAGGTGAAAAAACAATAATGGCAATATCAGCCCCACATAGAGTACACAACTCACTCGCCTTCTTAAAGAGTCCGGCTCGACGTTTAGAGAAAGTGACTTGGAGATTGCTTTCATTGTTCATCTTCACCATCTCAACCTTTTGTCGTCCCCTACTTTTTCTCGCCATGGTTACAAGGAATGAATATGTGTAGAGAGAAATTAAAAAAAAGATATGGAGAGAAATAATTTGTATAGAAATAGGGAGAAATACGTGATATTTATAGGAGACTCAAATCAAGATTGTGAATTAACACTTTGGGTAGACATCCTGTGTAGATTTCTTGTTTTTAATGACTTACTTATTTAGAGTTGATTGAGAATCTCCTCCATATTGAAATACATGGTAGGAAAAATCTGGACAATAAAGGTTAAATTTTACTATTATACAATTTGCCAAATCATTCTTTTATTAACATATATAGGTACATAGACATATAGATATACATGAAAATAGAACCTTCTTGAAAATTGTCATTTTTTACATTATATATACTTATATTTCTTCTCCTTGTAGATGCTAATTTGAGATTGAGAAGGTAAGATAGTCACTTTTACTTTTACTTATTTGCCTCTTGTTAGGAGACGTGATAACTCAATCATTTTTCTCAATAATTTACACAATTAAAAAAAACGATGTGATGGCTTTTATTGCATTAGTAAAGATATGTTTGTCTTTTTTGTTAAGATAATTTTAATTTTCATTATGAAAAAAAATAGAATCTCCTACAAAGGGCTAAAATAGAAGGACTTCTAATTTTTTAACTTTTTATATGGATAAAACAAGCGTAATTAATTATGAGATATTACAAAATGTGAACATGTATTTAGTGAATGCATTCATTAAATTTATTCATTGGGTTATTAGTTTAATAATTTTTAAAATAGAAGTAAATTATTATTAATAATTTCACCGTTATCATAAATTCACTAAAAGAAAAATCATTTATATTACCGACCACTTTTAGTAACTGACAATATTTCGTTACTGATAATAGACACATATAAACATTAGTCACTTATATTGGTTAATGCCTCGGTTATTGCATTATATCTTTACAAGCATAAAGTTCGTCGTTTATACATAGAAATCATTTTTATAGGATGACTTTTACCAACATACAACTTCTCTATAAGTACAGTCCTATACCAACTGAAAATTTCAAATTATCTAATTTTCATATCTATTGAATATTTAGTTGTATAACTTACACTAAACCAAAGCTCGAAAAAGTCAAGTCCATCCAACTTTTAAAATCAAATCCACCATTATCATAATTCATTCAACATCCTTTCATTAAACCAATCCATTTGGGTTATTAAAACAAACCTAAGTTTGGCATCTATTAAAAATTCCATTCGGATTTTCATCCTTTGGGCAACTATACCATCACCATTTGATCATCATCATCAACAACCTTAGGGTTCATTGTTTCTTTTTCCCTTTTTCTTTTTTCAAAATTTTAGCTAGGGAGGAGTGGAGGGGGCTTAATTTAAGTCTTAAATCGTTAGGATTTTTATTTTTTAGTATTTTAATTTTATTTTAAAGTTTTTTTGTTACCAGCCTGGACCAGGACTGAATCAGTTGGAACTAAACTTGTTGGTCTCCCTATCTAGGACTAAAACATTTGTGTGGTCTGATTCATTTTTTGGTTCATATTGGAGTTTGCATACCCTTATTCCAAAGTGAGAAGAGAGAAGAGAAAAGAGTATGGACACACCAAGAAACAACCCTTAAAGGGCTCAAACTCTAGAAAATGCCAACATAATCGGAATAGTCATAACAATGATAGGTTTTCTCTGGTTAAGCAATATCCACTAAGCATTGCTATTTCTAAGCTTGTTGGATTTCCTCACAATCTCTTCTCCTCATCTCCTCAATTCGTCGAGTCACGATCTCTTTTTCACACCTAAAGAGAATCCCCACTGCTAGGCAAAATCCCATACTGCCTCTGCTTTATGTAATTATCTAATTCATATTTCAATTCATATGACATAATAATTTCTCTCCCACAGAACATCAACATTTACTAAAGCAAAAAACCTCTTTTATGTTGATAAATCTTTTTCTCCATGCCACACCTCTTTATATAAAAACTTTAAAGTTCTTTGCTCCCCTATTTGTCATAACTTTTGCTTTGTTCCTTAGTTGACATGCACATCACAATTTGCCATATCCATTCCCCTTTCTTCTCAATTATTTCGAGATAAGTGATGTATTCAAACTCGAAAGATAATTATTTATTGAGAGAGATGATAGAAGAACCACTTGTCCTTTGATCTCTTCCAAAGTATTTTTTTTTTCTTTTATCCTTAAGAGCCTCCTACTGAATCCACCACTTTTTCACTAATATACTTAGAGAACTTCCATTCTTACTTCTGATACAATAGAAGTTTGGTACAATATATAACTTTAAATTGAAGAATCATTTGAGGCAAATTTTCTTTTTAAGTTGGTTATTTACAAAAATAACCATAAAAGTAAAATACATGATATATAGTGAACAAAATTTTTTAAATAATAAAGATGAAAGGTTATTGCATGAGCTTATCGATCTTGTGTTATAAACTAACAAAAAAATAGGATAAAATCGTTAGAATTTAAATATTAGTTTTGACATTAGCATCAAATTAAATAATAAAGTTGCATCGATTATTTAAAAAAAATTAGAATTTTAAGAAGATATCCAATATATTGTTTATATATTCAAAAGTTCATGCCACATTGCTCACAAAAGTAGAATATTTTTAAAAGACTATGCATTTAAATTGTTTAGAGTAATAATTCAATTTTAAATCCATGTACTTTTCATATTTACGTGATAAGAAAACAAGTCTGACACGAACATTCAAAAAAATAGAATATAAGTAAATGGATTTGAAGTAATAGTCAATGTTAAAACATAGAAATATCATAACTCTTAATAAAAGTGTCCGTTTACAATGAATATTTCTCGTTGAATCAATGTACATAATTTTTGAAATCTACACAATATAATTAAATGAATCATAAAGGCCATTTTGGAGTAATCTTTATGATGTTGTTGCTAATATATATCTTGGAATGAATCATATATTATTTTGTAATTTCTCGTGACAATTCATTGACAGCTGCCAGAAAAATGGTTATAGGATACATCTCATGCATGTACCTATTAATTTTATTTTATGGTAAGATTACCTAACAAATGCATTTATATGATTAAAATTATTTTAAAATCTGCTTGTGTAGGAACATAATTTGAATACAATTCACACTAAAAAAATCTATAAGTATTGAAGATTTTATCTCATGAAAAATACTATCGTAGCAAGCATTAGAACTGTGGTTAGATTAATAGGACAAAAAAATTATTTGGCAAAATTTAATTAAATTAGTTAAAGACATTTATTCTTAATTAACAAATTATTTTAGCTTATGAATATGATACATATTAAGATATGTGATATAAGTACCCGTTAATGGCGTCACAACACGTTGAAAAAATGACGTAGTAGAATTTTTGAAATATAGTAATATATATATAATCATGCACAAAGGATTTGAACAAAGAAAGATTATATTAAGAATAAGATGCAATATCACTTATTAGGATTACAAAATATTTAATAATAACATAAATAGATGCCTCTTATTTTCTAAACAAACCCTTACTCATACTGGATGCTAAACCCTAAAATTGAACATATCCTAAAGACCAATCATGAAGCATTTACTATATAGAACAAATTAAATGCTATTTTAAATAGAAAACAAATGTTCACTTAAAAGAATCCTTGGCCAAATCCCTGATTCCCTGTAGGCATCATGTTTGGATTGTTGAATGGAACAACGCTAGTATTGAATCCAACATGTCTTATCTCAAATGGAAGACCCTGCTCCCATTAGAAGAACTTTAAAAATAAAAAAAGGATGATGAGGATGAGGAGGAGGAAGATGAAGATGATTTTTTGAGGCATGAATCCCAATCTTCTCAGCATGCTTAGCCCCATTCTTCTTCAGCTCATCAAGAGAGGCCCTTAATTGTTGAAGTTGTGCCAAGCTCATATCCTCATTGGGAGCCATCCACCAACATTGGTTCTCATGTACCTTTTTCATCTGGTTGAGCTCCTCACTTCGCTTCTTCTCGATTTCAAGTTGGCTAAGAATCTGTATATATAGTAGAATTAATATATATTTTATAACAAAAATATTATATTAGAAATGAAAGAAATCAAAATAACCTGAGTGAGCTGCATGTTGAACTCACGAACACTAGCGTTTCGATGAGCCTTAATGAGTTTCATAGTTTTGGAAATGACTTGTGGTGGATTGCCACTAATGAAACGTTCCACTATAGTCTCGACACAAGGATGATCAAAGGAGAAAACTTTTCGGCCGGGTGAGAAGACGATAATAACAATATCAACCCCACATAAAGTGCACAATTCACTCGCTTTCTTGAAAAGTCCAGCTCGACGTTTGGAGAAAGTGACTTGGAGATTGCTTTCATTGTTCATCTTCATCATCTCAACCTTTTGTCGTCCCCTACTTTTTCTTACCATGGTTACAAGGATTGAATATGTGTAGGGAGAAATGAAAAGAGAGATCTGGAGAGAAATAATTGGTGTAGAGAGTAGGAAAAATAGTGATATTTATAGAATACTCAAATCAAGGTGTTGAATTGGCATTTTGGGTAGATATCCTGGGTAGATTTTCATTTTTTAATAATTTACTTGTTTAGAGTTGATTGAGAATTTCTTCCTAATTGAAATATATGGTACGAAAAATCTGAACAATTAAGGTTAAATTTTACTCTTTTACAATTTGTCAAGTCATATTTTTAATAACATATATAACTAAATGGATAGATAGATATACATCAAAACATAATCTTCTTTAAAATTGTCATTTTTTACATTATATACATATATTTTTTCTCCTTGTAGATGTTAATTTGAGATTGAGAAGGTAATATAATTACTTTTACTAATTTGTTAGGAGAAACAATAACTCAATCACTTTTCTCAATAATTTACACAATTAAAAAAAAAAGGCTGTGATGTCTTTTATTGTGTTAATAAAGATGAGCTTGTCTTTTTTGTTATGGTAATTTCAATTTTCATTATGAGAAAAATAGATGCTCCTTCAAAGGGTTAAATAAGACTTTCAATTTTTTTTTTTTTTAACTATTTAGAGGGATAAAACGAACATAATTAATTATGAGATCTTACAAAATGTGAACAATGTATTTATTGAATACATGCATTAAATTTATTCATTAGGTTATTAGTTTAATAATTTTTAAAGCAGAAATAAATTATTGTTAATAATTTAACCGGTATCATTAATTCACTAGAAGATAAATTACTTACAGTAATGACCCCTTTTAATAACTAACAAAATTTCGCTACTAAGGATAGACACATAAACATTACTCATTTGTATAGGTTAAGGCCTCGATTATTGCATTAAACCTAAGCTCGAAAAAGTCATGCCCATTCAATCTTTAAAATCAAATACATCATTATCATCATCCATTGAACATCCTTTCATTGAACAAATTTCATTTGGGTTATTAAGACAAACCTAAGCAAGGCATATTTTAAAAATTCTAATTGAATTTCATTATACCATCATCATTGATCATTATCATCAACAACCTCGTGGTTCATCTATTTCTTTTTTCTATTTTTTTTGACGAAATTTCTACTAGGTTTATCATTTCTTTTGCCTTTCCTTCAACGTGACATCGTCATCCTCATTGTCATCATCTATACGCCTTAGGGTTCATCACTGGTTGAAGAACGCTCGTGTCCTCATAATTTCATTCTCCATCATGTGTCAACCATCAGTTTTACTTTAGACTTAGGCAGTGATTCATTATTAGTAGGAGGTCATTTGTGAATTTCATAATCAAAATGACTCTCAGTTAAGGGGAAATATTCGATAACTCATTTTAATGGTTATATAATTGCTAGTGTAAACCCTAGAAA